GGCTCGAGCTCCGGCGCCTTCTCTTCTTCCGCCACCGAATCGGCCACCACTCCTCCCCCGCCTCCCCTTCGACCGATCCGTACGAACCCGATTCGATCGGACCACTTCCGACCGGATCACTGCATCTCCTCCAGATTCGACGAGAAGAGGGGGAAGAAAGAGCGCAATGGCTCGATCCGAAGCTGCCTGCGCGATCTGAAGAATGCGCGATCCCCATCCTCCCCCGGAGCTCGACTCGCCAATTTCCTCACCTCGATCTTCGCCGCTAAATCGAAGGTATCCGCCGAATTGGCCTGCTCGACCGAACAATCGTACTCACGATCGTGTTTGAGCAAAACTCCGTCGACGGCGAAGAGGACGGTGAGGTTCTGCCCCGTGAGCGTGATCGTGGGGGAGGATTGCAGACCGTGCGGCGAGAAATGGGTATACGGAGGCGAGGGACTGAGAGCGGCGGGGCGCCCCGCCGCTTCAGCGGGGGTTAATTCTGTGAGGAGATTACGGTTAAGGAGAGGTAAATGGTGGTATAGTTAGTGGATCAATTGGGAACTTTTGTTAACTTTGGTTAATTATATGGTTAGCTTGTTTTTTCTAGTTCTTATTTATATATTGAGTGGGGGGGTTAATGGTGTAATTAGGGGCATGTTTCTAAAGTAGTATATCTCAAGCTTATTTTAATCTAAATTTTGTTTTCTCTTTCTTATTTATATGTTAATTAGAGTGTTAAAATATAGACTGATATAAGGTTATTTTAATCCGAAAATTAATATAAGTGTCAAAATAATTTCGGATTATATTAAAATTTTATTTTAAGAATATAGGACTATTTTAGCCATTCTATAAACTCTCAGACTAAAATAAAATCATGTAAGTAGTAGTGGAGTATTTTGACACTTTACTTTTTTTATATATTATTATGGAAATTATATTCTATTTATATTTTATTTTTTGACATACTATAATATATTTTTAGAAATGAAATTAAAGAATTAAAAAAAATTATGTAAGTAGTTCTATTATTTACATTTGTACTTATTTGTTTAATATTTAATGTTTAAAAGATATTAAATATATTTTTGTTCTTTTTTTCTTATAAAAGAATGGCCGAGGCTGTTATACGAGCCCCCATTCACCCTCATACGCATAACTATTTTAGGACTTCCCTCACTACCAATAAACTGTCCAGAGCGAGATTCGAACTTATGACCTGAGGGGACTTATGAACTTCAAAATGATTGTTTTACCAATTTTTCACTACTGATGGCGCAAAAGATATTATATATATAGTTTAGGGTTAATTATTTTTTATGAATTTAAAAAATTAAGATATTACATAAGTAATATCTTAAAATTGACATGTTATGGGTGGAGGTAGAATGACTTTTTACCGTTAGTAATTCAAACGTTATTTCGACAAATGATTTTGAAAAACAAATTTCGGGGCATTAAGAAATTAACTATATTTTCTAGATAGTGATCCGTTCGCTGTCAAGAAAATATTTTTGCTTTAAATTTATTGTAATAAAATATTTATATTTTTATAATTTTTAAATATATATGATAAAATTATTTAATTATGGACCAATGGGCTACAAATGAATCCAGCTGAGGGCCACAAACTTGTTTGAGCTTGAGCCCAATTAGAACTTGTGTGATTGTGTTACGATTTGCTTAAGGTCAAAGTTGTTCAAGTTTAGCTTAAGTTACATGGAACCATTTAAAAAAATAAAAGATAAGTTTGAATATAAGATTTTAATTTAGTGAACCTTTTGATAGGCTTGTTAAATCATATTAAAACTTAGTTAAATATTTAAACAAAAAAATCAAGCAAACATCCCACTTGATTTGTAAGATCACACACTTAAAGCTTAATACTAGAACATATGATATTTCAAACTACAAAGACAATGCTATTTCCAATGTTTAATTAAGGTATGTATGAGAAAATGTGCATTCTTATAAAAGAATGGCCGAGGCTGTTATACGAGCCCCCATTCACCCTCATACGCATAACTATTTTAGGACTTCCCTCACTACCAATAAACTGTCCAGAGCGAGATTCGAACTTATGACCTGAGGGGACTTATGAACTTCAAAATGATTGTTTTACCAATTTTTCACTACTGATGGCGCAAAAGATATTATATATATAGTTTAGGGTTAATTATTTTTTATGAATTTAAAAAATTAAGATATTACATAAGTAATATCTTAAAATTGACATGTTATGGGTGGAGGTAGAATGACTTTTTACCGTTAGTAATTCAAACGTTATTTCGACAAATGATTTTGAAAAACAAATTTCGACACATTAAGAAATTAACTATATTTTCTAGATAGTGATCTGTTCGCTGTCAAGAAAATATTTTTGCTTTAAATTTGTTGTAATAAAATATTTATATTTTTATATATTTTTTTAAATATATATGGTAAAATTATTTAAATATGGACCAATGGGCCACAAACTTGTTTGAGCTGAGCTTGAGCCCAATTAGAACTTGTGTGATTGTGTTACGATTTGCTTAAGGTCAAAGTTGTTCAAGTTTAGCTTAAGTTACATGGAACCATTTAAAAAAATAAAAGATAAGTTTGAATATAAGATTTTAATTTAGTGAACCTTTTGATAGGCTTGTTAAATCATATTAAAACTTAGTTAAATATTTAAACAAAAAAATCAAGCAAACATCCCACTTGATTTGTAAGATCACACACTTAAAGCTTAATACTAGAACATATGATATTTCAAACTACAAAGACAATGCTACTTCCAATGTTTAATTAAGGTATGTATGAGAAAATAGTTGTAAGAAACACATTAGTTTTTAGGTAAAAAACCTTGAAAGGGAGAAAACTATGAGCCTTGGCCCAACTAAAACGCATGCACTCGTGTATGCAATTGGTTACAAATAATGGCTTTTTACACAATTAAAGAAGGTTTTAAATAAGCGACAAACCATAGAAGCATCTGCGTGAACCATGAGAAAATTTTGTGCAAGGATATATGGATATAATTTCTATCACAATGGGCGCAAAAATTCTTAGATTTAGCTTGGAAACTAATTTGATTTATAACAAATTTGTAATTTTTTTTTTTGTTCTTAAATAAAATCTAATAATTTCAAACTTAACTCGTACATATTTTATCGGAATATCCTGATGCAATACTCATTCAATTAGTATAAATAAAATAAGTATAAGTTTAAAAAATTTTAATCAAGTCAAGTATGAACATACACATGAAAGCCCCGGCTCAAATTAGAACTGAATAGGAATAAAGTATAATATAGACGATCCAAGTCCGATCTAGGATATGCTCGGCTCGGCTCGCTCAAATTTATCTTAGTAATACTAATTTTGTTTTATTCTAAATGGTGTAATATGACAATTAGTACCAAAATTTGCCAACTCTTAAAGAAAGAGGGAGGTTCTGCCCTATTTATTGAAACTAAATCATAATGAAGATTGTGTCATCACAATATAGAAATAAAAAAGGATAAACTCAAATAAGATTTGTGTGCGTGATGATTTTTGGAAATCATTCTACTTAAATATGAATGTTGTTCATACATTATACAATAACCTATGATGGGGTACTCCAGATTTTTTTCTGCTCGAACGAGTCTTCCCGGAGCTATTTCTTGCTGTCGGATTCGTCAGCAGCATCAGGTGATCGGATAGCAAATAAGATCTCAGAGTTTAGATGTTAGATATGTGAATACAAATGATTGTGTTGTATGCTATAAGTATCTCCTTTCTAACAGTACATTTATATTTTTATTAAGAATTAAGTGGTATGTATATAAATCTGCTATTTTATATGGTGGCCGGCGGTGGCCGGCCGGTGAACGGTCGGTCGGAGGGGGAGGTGGCCAGTCCTTGGGCAGCAAGGCCGCGGGCAAGGTAGCCAGCCAAAGGGTGGTGTATTCCAATAGTTAGTCGGTCGGAGCTGCAAGGCGGTCGACCACGACCGGTGAATGGCTGGCCGAAGAGGGAGGTGACAGACCAGTGGGCGGCCGGTTGGCGGGCAAGGTGGCTGCCCAAAGGGTTGCCAGCTAGTTTTTGTGGCATGTATGTAATTTTCTTTTTTTTTTAAGAAGTAGTTGCTCGTGGTAACCAGCCGATTGAGGCGGCGACCGAGGTGGCCTGCCGAGTGGTTCCTCATATGGTTAGCCTAAGTGGTCAGCCCTGCAAGTTCGTGGCAGATGGTGTGTTGCCGATAGCGGCGAGCCTTTTGGTTCAGTGAGGTCGTATACAAATAGTTATATATTTAGTTGATATGAAAATTTTAAGTTATATAAATGTAAAAAAAAATATATAATTTTTGCATTAGATATGTAAATACATAGAAACTGGGTGGCTTGTATGTAAATGCCCCCAATTTATTTTGGGCCTCTTAAATTTTTTTACTTCATCTTTAAACTCTTACAGCCTTTCGCCTTTTTTTTTTATAAATAATATGCCATAAATTAGTACTAAAAACAATACTTTAAAATTAAACATAAAAAAATAATGAAAAAGTGAAAAAGTAAAAAGGAAAAAAATCTTAAGCCAATATTGCCGTACGATGGCGGGAAACGTAATTTTGCGTGCGTATTCTAATAATATGCAGTCAAATGCGTTGTATCGCGGAGGTTATTTTGAGTTATTAAAATAGAATTGCATAGATTATTTTGGGGTTATTATTAAAGAGAAACTCATATATTCTATTTTAATAACCCTGAAATAACACCACTGAGGTTATTTCAGGGTTTTTGAAGAGAAACTCATATATTTCATTTCAATAAATTGAAATAACACAATAAAAACTATTTCAATATTATCGCGGAGATTATTAGAGTTCACAGTTTTATTTCAATAATCTTTGTGGTTCTACAAAGTGAACCGATAAAATAGACATGAGGG